TTCTGGGAAGGATCAGGAGTTCATTGCCACCAACTATTCTTGGTCATAACCATCTCATTAGATAGTTTCAAAAGTATAGCTCAACTGATTCTGAGAATCCATCGAATTTTGTCAGGATAGTCCGATTTTGCAGTGAGAACCGACAACACAGGGTTGTGAGCCCTGACCTTTGCCCGGCTCAATCACACCCGACTATCCTTAAGACTAACCTGGAGTCTCTCCTAGATTTCGTATACTTCCCATCCAACACCACCATCATCACATGCTTATGATGCATGAACCTAATTTTAGTCTTTTAATTAGGTATTAAACATTTCTTTTCAATCAACAACAACATATGTTCCACTGACAATCCGATAGAGTTTCCGCTATAATTCAGATATTTCTAAATTTTCTACTCTCTGCAAAACAGTCAGAAAATTCCAATACACTTCTAATTTTAAGTAGAGACTCACTACCACTACCACATTTCACAACTTTCCAGCTATTTCAATGGCTCTCAAATACTTTTTTCCAATTATCACCACATTTCAAAATACTCATTTAAAATAATATTTTAAAATGAATTAAAATCTTTTAAATTATTTAAATATGTATATAGGTATATTTTAAATATATAAAAACTATTAAATAAATTTAGATCAAACCACTTGAAATTAAAGAAGATTTTTAAACAATTATTTTCTTAAGAAGAAAATTAACCACAATTCCATTTCTTAATTTCTAAAACACTTTTTAAAACCCATCAAATTTTATCTCAAATCTTTTTATTTTTTTTAATAGCTTTATTTTACAAGTCTCCAATTCCTTTCAACTTTCAACATACTTTCTATATGCTCACTCCATATGAATGATAGGTCATTCCTCAAGTATTTTAGGCAATCAATTATTTATACTGAATTCAACAAAACAATTATCATAGAAGCATCATCACCCATAAAATCAATCTCAAAAAGGAATTTCAAATAATTGTACACTAAGTATGGAAATAATTATAAATTCCTTCAAATAATTTATACATACATAGCAAGGAATAAAACACCCAATCTCCCAACGTTTTTCTACTATACCCTTGAAAATAGATATGTCCCCTGTTACTTTGAAGTATATACCGATTTTTCTCACCAACGTTTTCTTTCCACCATTTCTTAAATCACGATCCTAACCAAATAATCAAACATAATCATGATCAATGTTAAGAGGCATTAATCATCCAACCCTCTACTAGTGAGTTAAAACTATCATTTTTTAATTTTCGTTAAAATGGCTTACGGGTCTTACAATTATTTTCTATAATGTAAATGGAATATTATAAGCCTAAACGATAATTGTAAGCTACGTGCCGTGTGTTGTGAAATGGAATGTGGGCTGTGTGCTGTGTGTAAGCATGATTACTGCATGCGTGAATGGAATATGTGTGAATGAGCGTGTTAGCGCCATTGTAATGTGCTGTGAATGGTTCAACGATATATTGGGAGTGTGAAAGATGAGGATGGTAGAAATATCTTAAGGAGAAGGGAGTGGTGGTGACACTGACTGTGGAACGAGTGCACCACGGGCTACAAACTCTCTTCCTGACTAGACTTCTGACCACTATCCTTGTTGAACTACTCGTGATTGCCCACGTGAAATTCATGAGGCGGGGGTAACCAGCGACCATTCATGGTAAAAATTTATGATCACAGTGCCAAAGTGGATGTGGCTAGCGTGTGTGCATATAGGATTATTGTTAATTGTAATTTTGAATGTGAAATGTTGTTAGTGTCGTGAGTGCATTGATATTGAATGACAATGTTGTCTATGTTTGTTTATGCATAAATGTATTGAATTTGATTTGGAGGTGAGACTCTATACCCAGTTGTGTGTTTTGGTATTGTAAAGTACTCACCCTTACATTCATTTTTCAGGTAACCAAGACGATCAGCACCAGACTCAGTGAAAGGGGTGGATGGAACTGCTATAGGACTAAGATATAAATTTGAAAATAGTATTTAAAAGTGTCCTGTAGTAGTGCTTTGATGAAATTGTAACCCCTTTTTCTTATTTTGAAATATTTGATGAAATCATGGGTTAAGAACTTTATTTGAAATGGAACTCGGAGATAAAAAAAACATACTACAATTTCTCGTTCCTCTTCTGAAGCTGAATATCGTGCCTTGGCCTCCACCACTTGTGAACTTCAATGGCTAATTTCGTTGCTACAAAATCTTTATGTTCCTCATATCACTCTTGCTCTTCTCTATTGTGAGAGCCAGTCTGCAAGGCATATTGCTTCTAATCCTAGTTTTCATGAGCGCATCAAGCACATCGACATTGACTGTCACATTGTCTACGAGATGCTGAACGACAAATTATTTCATCTTCTGCCTGTGTCTTCTTCCAATCAAATTGTTGACTTCTTCACTAAGCTTTTGGAAACAACCACTTTTTAGACCTTGATGTCCAAGCTAGGAGTATCCATCCACTCTCCAGCTTGAGAGGTAGTAGGACATATTTTTATGTTATTTTATTGATTCCTTATTGTTGTACCAATTTGTTAGTTTGCTTTGATTTTATTACCTAGTTTGTCATTTTATTATTCTTTCTGTTATTTTTTAGTCAATTTATAGAACTTCTATAAGCTATAATTGTTTTATTAATTAATAAAAAAAAATTTATTCAAACATTTTAATAGTTTCTTTTTTTATTAAAAAAAAGAGGAAAAACAAGCTAGTTATTGAAACCATCATTATTAAAATAATACATTTCATGATTTTGTTTTGTGACGGCGAAAAGGAAAGCAAAATAAATTTCATTAAACCGGAAATGAATGCATTATAGATGGGGTGGCATAGTCGGTGCTCTTACTTTTCGTGTGAAATTGACATTAACTTCGTGCATGCGTGCGTGTCAGACTGTATCTATACGTAACAGTATTAGACTTCAACATATATTGGTTTAAACATTAAAGAAAAACGATCATGCCATTACTAGACATAAAGTTAATGATTTTTTTAGATGGGATTAAGAAGAGTATTTTATATAGAAATTATAATAAAAACAATGTACATTTACCCTCTTTTTTTCTGTTGCTTCAGATTTAAGAGAAATCTAAACGGCTTCAAAATCTTAATAATAGATAGGAAGATAAACCACATGAATTGGTTAACCCATAAAAACGAAAAATTGTGTTTTTGAGCAATGTTCTAACCAAAAAGCCTACCGAACGACGAACATCATCCCTTCACCCTTTAAGGAAGGTGTAATCTTGTAGGATCCTTCTTGCAACTTGCAAACCAAAGCTAACAATTCAGTAGGGGGCATTGCCCAACGTCGCATTCCAAGTAATAGGTAGGAATGAATATTCAATACCAAGAAAAAAAAGGAAGAAAAGTCTTGAACTAGACAGTGATATTATGTATATTATTTTTAATGTTGAATTTTGTTATTTCATTCTATTTTGCGGATCACAACTCACTGTTAAAATATGCTATTCTGATCCTTTTTTTTTATTGTAAAATACTTTTTCTTAGAGTTTTTAATAATCTTTATAGTAAGGTATCTTATAATTTTTATGATTTTTTATTTATTTATCTTTAATAGAGTTGATGAAAACTTATATGGGAAGAAATTGTTTTGTTATAACACATTTCAAAAGTTAAAAAATTAATTAACTTTAATTATTTCATTTATTTGTATAACTTAGTTAGATTGTCTTATAAAAAAAATATTAGAAAGAATGTTTATATTTTATATTAAATATTTACTTTTTAAAATTTAGAATAAGGAAATGGTACCGTAGTCAAAATAATAGTAAATAAACTTTACGACCTTGAAAATAGTATCGCAGTTAGATGTTGTAAATCATATTGAAATTACAAGAATAAGCGTTTCTTTAATATTTTTAATAAAAAATTATTTTCAAGATACTAAAAATTTCTGTTAAGAGAGCCTTATACCTAATGTATATTTTCCATTTATTTAATAACGGTTATTTGTGCTAACAACTTGGATAATTTTTTTTGCCTAATTAGGTAATTAATCATCACTTTTGTGTCAGGTTCTCGTGGGTTACGGAACCTATTCAGTTAGAAAGCGTGCGCGATGACGACACGATAATACCTGTTTGGTATTACAAAGTATATATTAGATGCAACGTATTTTGAAAATGAAACCCCCTTTAACCCTTCTTCCACTCAATATTTTTATTTAGCTAGTCTTTTATTTATTTATTTTAATACATGGTTACTGTCATACTTCATTTATCAATGGTCTTCGTCCAAAGTAGGAACAATGTTCAAGGCTAAACAACTTTTTGATTTTTCTTTCAATGGTTGGCGTTTATGTCATTTTCAAAGGCAAATCAAAGTCCAAAATGAGCAGGAAAAGTATTAAGCATTTAAAATTCCATTTAAATCAATTTCCACCTGACCCCAAAAAAAAAAAAAAAACCACTACGTACACGTACATTGTGTTTATTTAAATAAAAAGTCACGCATCTTATGCCAAAAATAACTGCAAGTAACCATTCCAGTAACTAACACACTCGTTTAATTAATAAATTCAAGTGAAAACAATATATAAAAAAAGGACAAGCCATGGTGAATAAAATAGAAAAAAAAATCTTAATAATAAAGTAAAGTATCCTTTCCCTATAATCAAAAGCCATGTTTGTGTATATGGCTTGTAGCGAGGCGCACCTAAGGAGAGAGTAATTACTTGCAAAATGGTTAATTCGATGGAATTGGAATCTCTTACATGAAAAGGAAGAAGGGAACTTAATGGCGTGTAGGGTCCACAAGGTAGGGCCCATCTCCACCGTCTGATCCCTGAATCCGAAACCATGAGAATCAATCCGTACTGGGGACACTCCAAATGAGGCCCCACTTTCACGTGCGTTGACAGGCAACCTTCCAAGTCACACTGCCCAGCTTTTTCCAGGTTCCACAGCGAACCGGACCGGACCGGACCGGACCGAACCGGTTTAGAGATTGGGTATGGGAGCATGAAACCAAGAAGAATTCGCGCTTTCCAACAACCAAATTCCTTTCCCTCGACAATCACTCTCTCATTCCGTAACCTTCAATATTTAATTTAATGTTACTCTCTTTATTTACATTTACCGCGTTTTCTTTTCTTTTTTCTTCATCCAAACCGAACAAAACAAAACGACCACGAGAACTGAGTTACGCTCCGTCGTTTTCAAATTCCACTGGCATCTTCAGTTTTCTTCTGAACGCGATCAACGTGCATTTCTAAATTACGGATTCGGCTTTCCTTGTTAATCTCACCGTCACGGGTTGCAGCATCTTCGTCGCCGTCCAATCAGAGAACGGGTTTGTGGGGTTGGGTTGAGGGGGGGTTTTCAGGTTGCTAAGCTGCCGCTGAACAATCTATGCGTGGTGGTGGTGATAGTAGCAGCTTAGGGTGTGTGGCTTCTGCTGGATGTGTGTCGGGTGCAGGATAAATGCGTGTCACCGGGGATCTAGGGTTTTCGAGCCTGATCCTTGTGGTGGTCTGTGTGGTCCTCCCGGTGATCGGTTTTCTAATTCGCCGTAAATGGCGTCTTTCGGTGGCTAGGAAGGAGGAGATCAAGAGGCTTTTGATTTTGGCCGCCGAGGAAACTGCCAAGGCCGAAAGAGAAGCGTCCTATGTGTATGTCACGCCGGTTACCGCCGCTGCGAGCAATCAATGCGCCGTGTGCCATTTTCCCGCCACCGCGCGCTGCGCTCAGTGCAAATCCGTTCGCTACTGGTGCGTTCACCGCCAGTTGTTTGTTCTTTGCTTCCGTTTTCAATTGTGCTGAACATTTCGAGTTTTTTTTTTCTCCTGATTACACGTCGCTGTGCAGTAAACTTATTAATTATTGTTGGGAAAATTGTTTTTGATCTTGTTTTCTGGAGTGCGTCTATTGAAATTCCTAAATTACATACTCCGAATTATGTTAAATTTGTATTTACTTATTACATGCGACGAAGATTGAGCTGACTGTGACATTCTGTGTTACCTGGGTTCCATTTCATTGCTTTTGTTTTTTTTTGTGTACTTTTTTTTTTTCAGAAGATAGTGTCATTAATATGTCTATAGTACACACGTTTGGTTGATGTGTTTCAGTTCTTTTGAGTGCCAAACTGTTCATTGGCGTCAAGGTCACAAATTAGAATGCCGTCCTCCTAGCACAACTCACCGGAGTGATGATGTAAGCAGTGAAGTAGTCGAGCAAGACTACTCTGGAATCCATGGCGAGAAGTCTAAAAGTGACAGTACAGAGTGTAAAACAACCTCCGAGAAAACCCCAATTTCTGATACCAGCTTTTCTCCAAAAGTTTCACTTGAAAAGGATGAAAATATTAGAGTTGAGTCCCTTGCGGAGGTAAATATAACAGATTCTAATTCTGAATTATCCAGTAACTCATTTTCTGGATTCTCAGCTTCCACAAATTCTAGCGATTCATCTGATGATTCCTCTGTCTGTGAGAGCATCATCTCAAATGAACATGACAGGCCAGAGGGACATATTTTTGTTGATCCCACCCTTGACATTCCTGATAACACTTCTGGTGATAATAACATGGGTGTAGCCATGTCTTCTTCACCAAAGTTTGCTATTTTGGTTGATTCAGTAGATGGTTTTTCTACGATGCACAAATTTAATCATGACAGACCTGGTTTTAGTAAAGAAGAGAGAAAACTTGCACCCAATGCTACTTCAGGTTCAAGTATGTGGAAGGGGAAAACAATTGAACCTTCTAGAGAGTTTTCTGGATTCTGGGACAAAACTCTTGATTCAAGGGGGATTGGTGAAGATGCTAAGTCTGACACTCATCCATCCCATTCTGATGAATCCATGGCCAAAAAGGCTGATTCTGGATCTTCATTTCACTTTTCATTCAGTAGTAACATGCTTCCTCTGCATGTACAAGATACTAAGGCCAAGGATTCTGTGTTGGATAATGCATTTCCAAACTGTGTTGGGGATAATATGCCATGTCCAGGATCAGCATCATCTGAGAATGACAGCATGAATTCTTCAAAGGTGAGGAATTTCTCCTTCATCAACAGCAGAGTCTCCAATGTTATGAACCATGGTACTCCAAGTGGATCTGAATCTGATCAACTGGAATCTAAGGACAGCTCTGGGCCACATTTATCTTCTTTCTCCCCTCATTCATCCAGTGTTGGCAAAGATTCAGGTTGTGCTGATGCTTTGAGCATCCATAACTTGCAATCAGTTGGCTCTGTGGTATCAAATCATATTGTGGACAAGTGTGGCAGCACCTTGAAATCTACTAAAATTAGATGCCTGACACGTGAACTTTCTGATTCTAATTTAGCTTCTGGAACTGAAGAGCATTCACATTCAAGTACAAAATGTGGGAATAATGGCATTGAATCTAGCACTCGAACTGCCACTTCCTCTCAGGTTTCCAGCTGTTCTGCCAATTCTAAGAGTGGCTTGAAAACATCTGTTTTAAAGGTTGTTGATCAGTTTAGGGGATCAAATTTGTCAAAGCACTTTCCATTAGCTGTTGGGAATGATATTACTGGAAGATACAATGACAAGGTGCTTCTAGAACAAACCTTTTTACATTCTTTTGTGCCTTGAATTAATGTTATTATGTTCCCTAACATTTACAGTTGCTGCAGGGTCTTTTCCCATATGAATTGTTTGTCAAGCTTTATAACTTGAACAAGGTGGAGTTTTGCCCTTTTGGTCTTATAAACTGTGGAAACAGGTAATTTGAAATTATTTATGATAAAACAGGTAACTTGAACAGGGTTCATGCTTGTAGGTGGATTTATATGTTTACAGATTACAGTGTCATATGCCATACCACCATATTAAATGATTGATGTGAATGGTTAGGTTGTTCCGTTGTTGAATTTTCATGTAGATTCAATTGCTCTTTCACTGTCCTCTGTGTAGGATTCACATTTTGGTTTTTTAAACTTGTCAACTTTATTTTTTTCTTTTTGCAGCTGCTATGCTAATGCTGTGCTTCAGTGCTTAGCATTTACACCACCTCTTACTGCTTATTTGCTTCAAGGATTACATTCTAAATCATGTATGTATGCAATCAGATTTTTCATCATGGAATCATCTTGTACCATATTTCTTGAATACTGTGTTGTAAGGTGTGACTGCTTCCCTGGGTAAAATACCTCCTATTTGAATTTCAGGTGTAAATAAAAAATGGTGTTTCACGTGTGAATTTGAAAGTTTGATTTTGAAGTCAAAAGGTACAAAATCTTCAGTGTCTCCTCTGGGCATAATCTCTCATCTACAGAATATTGGGAGTCAGCTTGGTAATGGCAGAGAAGAAGACGCACATGAATTTCTTAGGTATTTTTTACAGCTTTCAATTCATGTAATCTAGCATAAATATTGTTTTTTGATTCATTTTAAGTTAATCAAGCGTATGACATACTTAACAGGCATGTGATTGACACAATGCAATCTGTTTGCCTTATGGAAGCTGGGGCTAATGCATCGGGCTCATCAGAAGAGGACACTACTCTAATGGGTCTAACATTTGGAGGTTACATTCGATCAAAGGTAATTTTTTATTTCTACCTGAGAAAGTAGTACATAACTATCTATTATGGTTTTCTTTCTTCCCCAGACATTGGTGCAATAAAGTGTTTGGCATGGTTTAGAAATTGATAAATCTATTATTGTCATTATAACATCCGCTGATTGGAGGTAACAAGGACAATGAATATTCACTTAATATTTGGCAGATAAAATGCATGAAATGTGGTGGAAAGTCTGAGCGTCAGGAAAGGATTATGGATCTGACTGTTGAGATAGAAGGGGAGATAACAACCCTGGTGGAGGCCCTTCGACGGTTTACAAGCACTGAGACTTTGGATGGAGAAAACAAGTACCATTGTGTCAGGTTGGTTGATTTTTTGGTCCCCTCTTGATTGATGTCTTCATAGGAAGAGTTTGGGGTGTAATGCATTTTTATTTGTCATACTAGTACTCAAGCATTTCTCCCTATTATTAATAAACTATTTCCTATTTTAAGATGCAAATCTTATGAGAAGGCCAAGAAAAAGCTGACAGTTTCAGAGGCACCCAATGTTCTTACCGTTGCATTAAAGAGATTTCAGGTATTTGTGTTAAATTCAAAGACAAGATGTTATTACCTAAATTCTATGCTGCCTATACGCAAAGTTTACCTTGTTAAATCTATTTTGCAGTCTGGGAAATTTGGGAAGCTCAACAAGCCAATTCAATTTCCTGAAATACTTGACTTGGCACCTTTCATGAGTGGGACTAGTGATAAATCACCCATATACAGATTGTATGGGGTAGTTGTTCACTTGGATATCATGAATGCTGCCTTTTCAGGTCACTATGTGTGCTATGTGAAGAATATCCAAAACAAGTGGTTCAAGGTTGATGACAGTGTGGTAAGTCCTTCAGTTTGCATTTGTTCCCATATCTTAGGAGAAATTCTGTTATGGTTCCTAAATTTACTTCTGTAGGTTTATGTTTTTCTTAATTAGTACTTCCTCTAGTACATTTTATAAGGAACCTTTAACTTAATTACACAACCCAATAAAAGTAGTTAAAGTTAGTTGAAGTTCTTGATTTTCTAAAAATTATTATAATATGACAATTTTACCCTTATTTAATACCATTGTACCCAACCTCACTATCAACTTTTACTCTTCTTAAATTTAGCTTCTCATCAACTCCATTTATTAAGGGCAAATAGGAAAAACATAATAAATGCTTCATAGAAACTATGAAGTGCCTTATGAAAAAGACTACTAAAAGTTTCTAGAATGTGCCTTATGAAATGACCGGAGGAAGTATTTAGTAGTCCATGGTCCTCACTGTAAATTTCTTAATGTTCTTTTCTTGACCTGTATTGAAGAGATACAAGAACAGAGAAGAGGGAATGTTAATAGACTCCTCCAGGTGTTCCAGAGATCTTGCCTGAGCTCTCCCTCCCAATTACACTTCATAAGCAAAGACCCTCCCTCTATTCTCCCAGTTATACTCTCTTCTTCCCCCAAGTTACTGTTATATTTGTTACTTACTGATACAAGCCCCACTGAGATAGCTAACAATGTAAAACCTAAATTTTACTGAGCAACATGGTCCAAACGAACCCTAGTAGTAGCATAAAAAAACTGCAATAATTGCATCATGCAAGGCTAGACTAATGACAAAGGCAGGGGAATAGATCCTGGAATGAAAGCTCTGCTAGCCAATTTCCTCCCAGAATCATTTTGTTCTGGGATAAAATTATTCAGTTCTTTGAGTGAAGGTGTCTTCATATCAGTGTTGTATTACAAAACATAAGGAAACATACAAACATTTTTTGTGGTTATTACTTATGAGATTCCTCTCAGATGCACCCTTGCGAAAGCATTTCTCTAGATGTTGAATTGGTCTAACTAACAATATTATACTTGGTTTAACCATCTCCTGTATGTGTATCTGTTGCAGGTGACGGCTGTTGAATTGGAGAGAGTCTTGACAAAAGGAGCATATATGCTTTTTTATGCAAGGTAACCCGACTTTTTTCTTGTCTGACGCAGGGGTGGGGGTGGTAGAACAGAACCAGAGATTGAATTGGCGAGAGCTTAGGGTTATGGTTCAATGGGGTTCAACCTGGTAATTAATGGTTCAACCAAAAGTGAATTGAACAACGTAAGGAATAACTGGACCAGAAACGTAGTGGATTCACAAGTCTGACTTGTTGAACCGGTCACTTCTAAAAATATTGGGGGTGGCTGCAATAAAAATTTCTTTTAAATGCTCTTTCTCTTGTCAGCTTCTCTGACTAGTTGAATCACCTTGTAGGTGCTCGCCAAGGGCCCCAAGATTAATTAGGAACAGGATAATATCCCCAGATTCCAAAAGCAAAGTCAGTGGAAAGACTCTTACTACAAAAGCAAGATATATATCTACAAATTCTGGCACTGCTGAACATGTCAATAGTTTAATTTCTCCAGACGGATCACCTGCCTTAGAAACTTTCTATTCAAAGTTTCACCATCTGAAAAGGATTTTAGAAGAAGACTCATCTAGTGATAATTCATCCCTTATCAGCAGCAATTCTGATGAAGGTTCTTGCAGTACAGATAGTACCCGTGATTCAACCAGCACAGATGACTTCTCAGATTATATTTTTGGTGATTCAGGGAATGGCTGGAGTAGCATGTGGAGGAATTCCGATTCTGACTCATCCTCATCCTCTTCATCTTCTCCCTTGAACTCTCGACATTCACCCCTATCTGATATGGACCGGTATGATTCAGTTTCACCAGATGGATCTGGTTTGCGAATTCCCACAGTTTTAAGTCCAGTGATAGATGATCCTTTATACAGAAACAGACTGGCGGATGTTGAAAGGAGGGAGATAGTTGTTTCTCGTTTACATACTGACCCAACTTTACAAAATAGAAAGTTAGATAGTGATAGGATTAGTAGCAATAGTAGTAGTAGTAGTAGTAGTAGTAGTAGGGAGACTGACCCTTTTCTGAAACTAGGATCTAACCATTTTAATGATATAGGCTCTGGTGTATCACGTAGAAAGTCGAGGAAAAGAACGGATTGAAACTTTTGTCAGTAGGCGGAGCTCCGGAGCAGTAAATAATGAGGGATGCTCTACGTAATGTACTCTTGAAGGTGGCATTCTTTTTACGAAGAAATTTAGCTACATCATTTTGCCAATAACTTAACTAGATGTAGATATAGACTGCTGTAACTTCGTTATAAAAAATTCAATGGAATTTCTTTTATTACTAAAGATACAAATATTTGAAATAAAGAGTATTATTTTCTTTTACTTGCACTTGTGTATGATATTTAAAATTTATAGCTATTACGCGGAGGCTACTATATAGTATATATTTTAATTTGCCTTTATTATATTTTTGTATTGATTTTCACTTTTTGATAATTTTTTCTTAATTTAGTGTTTTAAATTTTTAGTTGTTATAATATTTCAGTTATTTCACGACTGTACCTTTCTATATAATTCATAAATTGTTATTTTTTATTGAAAGAGTTTATAATATAAGATGTGAGATTTATTTTTTTATGAGAAAATTTTGGAATTTTTAAATTTTTTTATGAAATAAGATTTTTAATCGGCAAGCTTTAGAGTGATTTAATGGGTTTAGTTAAGGGAGATTTAAAGAAACATTTAAGAATTCCAGAATTTTAGTTAATGTATAAAAAGGGAGGGATTTGATTGGAATAGTAAAAAAAAAACTTTATTGTAATACTGAAAAATCGAGAAACTATGTTAAAATGAAAGATTACTGGAGGACCAACTAATAATATATTACGAACGGACGAGTTTAAAATAAAAAACTAGTTCAAATGAGTTAATCACTCATGTTTTCTCAGGCGTGTGGGTTGTATTTTATTTAACTTGTGATAGAAGTTTAATTTATGTTACTATTTAATTTAATTTTTTTGACTTTTAAAAGCTCTTATTAATAAATTTATTCAAACTATACTTAATATTTTTAGTCTATATAAATTTGCAGCATAAACATCTTTAGCTAGTTCAACATAAATGGACGGGCTTTATATTTATAACCAATGTGACATCTAAATTGTTGGATCCGTTATGAGTGTGTTTGATATAAATGTGCATGTATACTTGTTTCCACGCATAACATGTACCAAATACATCGTACATTAACACAATATTGAGTTATAATAGCAATAAGTGGTTTCACTGTATTACATTGAAATTAATTTTTAAAATACAACTTAAAGCCTTTCTTTTTCTTGTAAGGAAATCAAGCTTAATTTCATAATTAATGAAATGATATTTTCCTCTACTAAATACGGATAAAATTGAATTCAGACTCATAGTTGTGGGTTAAATTACACAAAGAATAATGCTTCTAGGATGGATTTTAGTTGCATGAACCATGCAGCTAGACACATTCCTGTTAAAGTCAAAATGTTGAAGAAATGAGCTAAAGATGTTCGTCTTTCCTACAATTGTGGAATGCTTTGGCAAATTAAAATTACCGTTCTTTTAATGTATATTGAAGCCTTCTTCGATTCTCTCTTAAAACTTCAAATTCATTCAGTTAGAACTGGTGGAGCAATTATAGCAACAAAATGTGTGCTTTTCTTCGTAAAATCATTTATTTAGGAAAGTAAAAACCTAATGAAGTTGATATTTGATACTACTGGGAATGAATGATTCAGGTCATGATCAAAATAGAGAGAAAATCAAACCCGAATAAGGTGAGACATTATAGTCAATACTTTGCATGGAAAATGTTTTTTAGACATTCAAAAGAGTGTACAGAGATAGAAAGAAAAGAGAGAAAAGTAATAAATAATATAATAATATCTCTAATAGTCTATTACTTTAAGTTGCTTGAATCCCACGGAGATATATCATTTTCTTTTATCTTTTATAATTTACTCTCCTTGTATTATATATTTTGAAAATTTTATTAAATAGATATAACATTTCAACAAAATAAGAATTTAAACTCAATCATTAAAGTAAATGTCATGAAATCATCATAATTTTTACAGTATTAGATCTTTATTGATATTTGACTCATCTAAAGATAAACGAAGTAAGAAAATAATATTCAAAAGGATAATAAAAGTTCGATATAATAAATATTTAAATTTAAAAGTAATGATATGTATATATGTATATATAATTTTTTTTATTTTTAAAAAGCTAAATTGCAAATGGTGTATTGATAATCTTGAGATAAGATATAGGGGTGTTTAAGTGAGTCAAGCAAGGAACCCATTAAAAATGTTCCTGTGTAATAAGAAAAAAATAAAAGAAGTATTGAATGAGAATTGATATTATTATTAGAATTTGCAATATTTATAAATCAAAATTGTAGCAAAAAATCCAACGTGGGCCCCTCCTATGTACACTCGAATCACAATGACACAAACTTAAGACATGAAAGGAGAAGCAGTGGCCCTGTCCTACTTTGTACTTTCTTGATCGTTCCATCCCCAAACTTGACCTTCTTATGCAGTATCAGTCCTCACAACCATCACACATCACATTCTCATCCCCACCCACATGAACCTCATTTTGGACTTTGATGGCAGAAATTTAGACAATTATTATCCACCACTTCATACATCACCAAATAATCAATCAAACCATCTTTGTTCGAAAATTTGAAAAAATAAAAAAAATTGAAGATAATAGAAGAAAGAATAAAGAAAGGTTAATGCAAAAAATTTTAAATTAAAAGAGTTGAACTTAAAAATATGAAGTTAGCGGATTTTGGAGGGTTACTAAACATTTTCTTATTTAAAAAATTCTAATTTAGAAACAGCTTATTTGGCTTTATATTTTATTTCTTAAGTAATTACAGAAATATCAAAATTTTTAATTTTTTTCATTTTAAATAATAAGAATCCTATTTTCATTACAGGGATAAATATTCTAAAATTAAAAAAGTAAACAAGTGTTTTTATAATTATTTGTGAAAATGGAAAACTATATTCTGAAACTAAAAGGTACATATTTCGCCAATATAAAAAAAAATTTAAATATATTGAAGCAAATAAATTTAAATACTAACAGTAAAAAATTAAATTATTTTAGATCTCAGTAAAACCTTTTTCAACTTACAATTATCAGATTACTAGGGAAAACATCCGAACTCCATCTTACCATGTCTATTTTCACTTTTACAAGTACGAATACCTGCAGCTAAAAAAATTCAAATAATTTTAAAAATGTTGCTCAAAAACATTTAAAACTATTTATGTTTTAATTCAACATGATGTTATTTCGCATATTCCAGAATCACACCAGAAGGGTTAAGACTTGAAATTTACTGGTTTAAAACAAGATACGTGTTTAGACATAATAAAATTTAAATACTTATTTTTTTCAATTTTCAATTGTATTATGCTTATAAATATTGTTTTTAAAACTTTTATATTTATTTTTATCCATTTAAGTTATCAATTTCTTTTTGGTCGAGATCATTTAAATTATCTGAACGCTATAATTGTTTATTCTTGTCTCTTCAGACATGTAAGTTGTTTCATAGATATGTACGAAAACGCCAAAAAGTAGTAGAAGAAGCTGAGCCCGACGTGCATCTCAGCCAAAGTGGATAATGGACATGGGACTTCAGAGTATGTATTTACTGGACTTGTTAATGATAGTAACTGTTTGATTGAATGAGGTTTGAAGTTTTGTTCTTGTAATCAATATTCCAACCCCCTACATTATCAAGTTGAGTTTAACTCAATCAATGAATTGTCGTGAAAACGAAAATTTTAATTGAAAAAACTCAAATTTTGTAAATACAGTCTTGAGTTTGATGAGTGTGAAAGGGACACAACATAAGTGCGTATGATTCTCCTAAGTTACTAATCTTATACACTCTTTTTATAATCACCGTTGTTTATTGTTATCTCAGTTATTTAGTACAAAAGTCATATGAGTGATAGATAATGAAAGGTTTATTATTGTATAAAAAATCTTATTTGAGCACGTTAATGTTAAATATTTAATAGTGTTAGAAAAATGTTAACATCGTCTTAACGGTTGGCGATAAAAGTAGCAGCAAACAAGATGGCTATCTTTTCTCTCTTTTGTTATTTGTGTTCCAACTCCCAACACAAAACACTTGAAAACGGAAGAACGTGAAGTTGCACTCCATCTTGATTCTTGCATTTCAAATCTCTTTTATTATGATGGGTGCCTCAAGAAAGTGGGTAAAAGCGTTAACCGGGTTCAAGAAACCGGACAAGGATGAAAATGTAAGTTTTGTTGTCTATACAGCGCAATGCATCCAAAAGATCAAGGTTTTTTCCTTTTTTATTTGGTTTGTAACTGTATGTGTAGGTAAAGGGTCTGATTCTCTAACTGATTTTTTTACAGCCTAATACTTTAAGTTACTCAGACATGGACGAATCCAAACCTCTTTCTGCGACTTCTTGGTAACATCAAGACCCTTCATTTTTAGCTATAAAATAAATTTATTGGACATACATTTCGGAATAATTTGTTCTGTCCTGATTTTCTTTTCTTACTCTGCTCTCTGTATTTACGTGGTTTTCCAGTTGTTGGACTTTTTGCTAGGCCATCTACATGAAGCATTCATATAGAGATGAGTTGAAAACAGTTGTAAACTTGTATGGTAACGTGGTCTGTATCCGATATGCTTATTTTATTTGAAATAAAAATCCATCGATGTTTATAATTTTAAAATTAATTTGCTCATGTAGACGTGCAAAACTTGTATTATGTTTTCGTGAACATTCCACCTTCCCTACCTTTTATTTTCAATGAAAATATGCAATTTGTCTGAAATCTGTTATGTCCCTAAGGTCTATCTCATCTACTTCTCTTGCTGAGCATCTTATATTTTATCATTTCTTTTCAGAGCCATTAGTGGTCATTTGAGACTTTTAACCTTGAATACTTTTAAGTTAACCTGCTTGAATACTGTTGCAGTGTTGCTTTGGATAAACTTTTATCTTATGTCTTGCTCTCCTGTTGTTTGGAGTATAGTAATGGGTTTTTTTGTTGCCTGCTGGAATTTACAGTAAGCTCCATCAGATTCTAATAGCCAAGCCACAGGTGTAAAGTACTGAGAGTGCAGAAGATATTAAAACAAATTTCTGATCTTATTTGATAGTTGAAAGTGACAATGAATGTCTTGATTCAATTGGTAAACTTTTCCTAACGTTTTAGGCTAGTTCCGCGATAAAAATAACCAAAAAAATTATGTTCAACTTGGCTATATGGGCTTTCCATTGAGATGAGCAAGAATTCACTTTCACAGTTTTAATCAATTTAAAATC